CTGGAGCGATGGCGCCACAGGTAAGTACCACTGGCCTCCGCCAGTATCTCTCCCACTCTACGTGCACTGACCACTACCTACCCGTGAAGTGCCTAGGACAGTCCTATGTACTACCGGGGTGCCTCCTGACTGCTGGCGAGCAGTCCAGGGGGCTGCTCTTGCCAATGCCGATCGGAGGCAGGGGCTGCAGCTGCAGCTCTTGCTCGAGTTTGTGAGGAACAGGCTATTTCTGGCCTGTTCCGCATCCCTGTTTCTGTGCCTGAGTCTTAGGGGCAGGTCGAAACAACGAGGGCCTGAAAATGGCCCTCCGTTTCAGGCTGAAACTTTGGGTCTGAAAAGACCCAGAAATAGGCTGAAACGGGGTAGGGCCTGCAGGCCCTCGTTTTTTCAGCTTTCAGGCTGAAACGACCGGGGCCTGTAAGCCCTAAGTTTTAGGCTTTTAGGCTGAATGTCCGGGACGGGCCCTGCAGGGCCCGTGTGGCTACGCAGTATGCCACATCCACCCAGATGACTAGATCGAAAAATGACAGCAACTTTACCTCTATTGCCGACAACGAAGCATGCTTAAGATGAGCCAATCCACCAATGAAACAGTTTTGCCTCCATGGTCAGCAACATGAAGCACAATATCCATCCAAAATCATAGGAATGTTACCTTTCTACAAGCAACACGACACACTCGAGATGGGCCAACCTATTAATGAAACAGTTGGCAATATGAAACATAATAGATCCGTTGTATTGTTTTCTTGATTATGTTTATCTGAGCTATCTTTGGGAGGCCTTCCACTTTATTTGTTCTTGCAGCTCCCCACTTGCTGTGCCTCTCACAAATAAGGATGCCCACGTTGATGATGGTTGAGCGCCAGCTGCCCACACCCCCATGTGGCTTAACGGCATACTTGCCCATTATGAAAGGAGGCAGAGTAAAGGGGGAGGTATATTCCTGTTCATTATTCTTTAGGTCTTCAGCTTATATTTTCTGTTCCCTTAATGATGCCCATTCATATGTACTCACTAGTAATACACAAGGGGAGGGAGGAATGAAGGGGAAGAATTGAAAGGGAAGGAGGTGTTTTATAGGAGGTCACAGGTGGGGGAGGAACAAAGGGCAGAGGAGGGAAGCGGGGTGGCAAAGAACAGAACCGAGGAGTAACGAACTTCACAGGGTTCTTAATACTCACTGCTGGAGCAGAATACTGCAGAATGGCTCAAGAGGCTAGTCATTGTATAAGTTGCAGCAGATTTAGCGTTGAGGAGCAAACGTTGCCTAGCGTAAGTGGCCACCCCTACAGACCGGACAGGACCGGTTCAGGTGTGGACAGTGGAAGCACCGCATACAATTCTCACATTTAGAGTCGCTGCATCGAATGGCATGGTGCAGAAAAATATCACAGGCTACGTGACTCCTAAATGCTAGGAACACAGAGGCACACCGAGCGCAATTGTATAGGCATTGCTGTTCCAGCCCCTGTCGACAAATTGGACATGACATGTTTCCACCAGAACAGGATAAGTCCTTGCATTAATCCGGGCCAATTACATTAGATGAGTCAGAAAAGTATGCCATAATCAGAAGGATTTACGGAGCACATCCACCATACCATGAGTGTGACCTGCTAGTACAGGTCCAATCCTAGCCGCTCAATCTACAAGAGCAGTGAGCTAGCAAGACCAGAATGTGTGTTATGAATTTTCACCACAACGTCCCCTGTTCCACCCAAATGAGTAGATTCAAAATCACACCAACTTTACCTCTATTGCAGATGATGAAGCACATGCTTGAGATGAGGCAATTCATCAATGAAACAGTTTTGCCTCTTTAGTCAGCATCATGAAGCACAATATCTATTAAAAATCATAGGAATCTTACTTTCATACAAGCAATGCGACACACTTGAGATGAGCCAACCCAACAATGAAACAGTTAGCAATATTGCAATACCCCGCTCAATATGCCCTGAGGTGGCCTCACGGCCACTCACAGGCCGCAAAGGCCAAGGGGAGGAAAACCCCAAATTGGCGCAGGGCCTGTGCGCCTGACAGTTGACTACGGTCAACTGCCCAGCGGCCCAAGAGTCAAAGTCTGCATGCACCCAGCCCAGGCTGCCAGTCAGACACACACACACTTGTTTGTATGCAGGTACCAAGACAGCATTCGGACCAAGTGGAAGTCTGCAACTGTACACGATCCAGGCCTTCGGCTGTTAGTCAATCTGAGCCACTGTGGGTGGGAGACCTGAGGCCGGACAGCCTCGTCAAACATTACATAAGGCCCGGTCTCCAGGGAGTCAACATTCAGTCTTGCTATGCTGCCTTGACGCTGGCTTGACGCTGGCTTGACGCTGGCTTGATGCTGGCTGTACGCTGGCACTGTGGACGACGACGCAAGACTGCTGCTGCACGCTGGCGCCTTTCTGCTTTGGCGCCAGCCTATGTTGACGCGGTGCAGCGCCATGCTGTCTTCAACATTGCTGAATTGGCGCACGCCACTCTGTCTTCATTGCTGACGTGGCATTTGCCACATTGTCTACATAGCTGAGTTGGACATGACAAGGAGGGAGATCGGGATCTGTGGATGATTGAGAGGGAACGGGATACTTACCTGTGGTTGATGTCGATACCGTGCGCTGCTGATTGTCTCCAACGTCTTCACGAGAGAACTGTGCCCGTGGCATTTCGATGTGATCAGGAGCTGTCAGGCTCGTCACTGGATACTGTTTTGCTGACGTGGAGGAGAGGGGAAGTCCGGAGAAGGACTGGGAACTGTTGGGCTACTCTCTTTGTGGTCATTGATGGTTACTATCTCTTCCACCTTCTAATCTGTCTATTGACTCTATTCCCCCTCCACTCTCTTCGTCTACTGGAAACGAGACATTGTATCAGATATGACATTCATGATTATTGGAGACATTGTTCAGAGTTGAGTTACTTTGTATTTCGACATCTGGCGAGTATCTTACAGACTGGGTTCATTACAACCATAAAACACAATAGATCAATTATATCGTTTTCTTGATTATGTCTGCCTCTGTGTTCCTAGCATGTAGGAGCCACATATCCTGTGATATCTGTCTACGCCGTGCCATTCAATGCAGCAACTGTAACTGCGAGAATTGGATGCAGTGCTTCCACAATCCACACCCAAAACCAGTCCTGTCCGGTCTGTGATGGTGGCCACTTACGATAGGCAACGTTTGCTCCTCAACTCTAAATCTCCTGCAACCCATACACTGACAAGTGCAATGACTTGCTGTTTTCTGGTCGCCTGTATCCTCTCTCTGTCGAGGCTGTACTGTAGGTAGGACAGATTCGTAATTTTGTTTGGCTGAGGGCTAACCGAGAGACCTACCTGTGAGGGAAATTCTTGAGGGACATATCTGCAAATCCGGGAAAATACAGGCCCGGTACTAACTTGATTCCCTACAGCTACCCTAACTGCGGATAGCAGGCCCGGGCTATGGGCCTATTCTGAATAGACGGTCCTATAGCCTATAGTCGGGTCCGGTAGAGGCCGAGAGGCCGAAACAGATACGGTACCGGTCGGTCAGTCAGTCCGGTCTAGGTCGGTGTAGGCTAGAAGTAGGATGGGCACATCGGTTCAGGGCTTTTGGCAGTTGGTACCGTGTACATCGCTGCTGCGCTACGTGTGAACCGGAAGTGGTGACGGCTCAGCGTGGAAGGAGACRGGCATAGCCAGACCTTCGGAKYGCAGGCCATAGCTGGGACCTGCGYTGTACTCTGMCAGCACGYAGGGGCTGACAGAGGTCTGGGTTATCGAGGTCTGCTGGARGCGAGAGAGATTGGTGCCCTGCTGGACCCTCCTCCGGAGTGGGGTCCCAGAGGGTTGCGCTGCAGCCATAGCTGCAGCATCTTCATCTCAGAGGTCATCTAGTCAGGGTCTGGTGGCGCTGCTGCAGGCTTCCACCCGGGAAGCCTCCCGACACTCCGTCATCATCAGATACTGTGGCGCTGGTCTTCTTCTTCATCCTCTGAGTGGCGCTTGGCCTTAGAGGCCTGTTTCAGGGTGGCGCTGCCCCCAGGAGGCTGTATTTGGGTGGCGCTTGATGTTTCAGGGCTCAGGGGGTGTTACGGGTGTCTATCAGGGTTGGAGAGTGAAGCGCTGCTCAATTCTGAGCAGCGCACTGTAGTTCTGAAGTGACCCTGACATTTCGAGACTCCGAGTTTAATAAACAGTGTATAACTGTGTTTGGGCTATCATCGTTTCATTGTTTCCTGGATGTGATCTGCTCGGCTTTTCTCTATGACTGGTTGTGAGGATTGAATGGAGTGAATTGCACTTTCAGTGTACCCTGTCATATCGCATGGACAAATCTTCCGCTGTGTTTATCTCTCCCTGTGCGGTGTGATACTCCTATCCTCTCCCCTTTACTTCTGTGTGTGTATGGGCATGTGCAGAAGTTTATGTGAGTGAGTGTTGGCCTTCAGGCAACGTACAACCAGAATCATAACAGTTGGTATCGGAGCAATTGGATCCAGACTCTGGAGCGGTTGATGAGTTGGAGCACCCATCATCATCTGGCGAGATACTGGAGTTGAGCTTCATGGCGATTCATCATCTTCAAGGTTGTTGTCAGTAGGGTGGTGGTTGTGAGTGTGTGGCGAGAAGCAACAGACAGAGGGTGACACACTCATGGCTAGGGTTATGCAGGAGTGAGAGGCGTTTGATAATCCAGAGGCCCAGAAGGCTCTGGGAGGCTAATTATAGCCTGGCGATTCACCTGGAGGTTGGCGATTGTCAGGGAAGTGATCCCAGGAGGTTGCGATTTTGGAATTGGGTTAGAGTCCCCAATTTCCAATCAGCGTTGTACAAGGTGATATGGTGCTGTACTGTCTGGAGCAGTTATCAGCACCTGGGAGTCCAAATTCGTTGAATCTGTCAGTTGGGGGTGAAGCGCCTCAGGGAACTCTACTGGATCACCAAGTTTGGAAGGATTCTGTACGTGGGAGCACAGTATACTGTCAGGAGGTGAAACTGGCGGGACAGGCTTGACTATTCAGCCATAGCCAAGATTCCATGCATCTTCTTCAGAGCTGATCCTGAAGTGAGTGTGTTCCTTACTCTATCATGTGTGGCGATTCAGGGGCTATTTTTAGAATAGTGAAATTGGGTCTGTCCGTCAGGTGACAGTTGAAAATTGAAATTCAGACTGTGGGACAGCCATATCCAACCTCTCCTACCTATCTTCTTTGACCTCTACTAACCCTGTTTGACCTCCCCTCTGGCTCAAATTTCATCTGGGACTGCTTTACAGTATTGCGATTTACACTGTGCAGTGAATTGATGGTTTCAGGGTTCAATTGTCAGTGATAAGGCAAAATTGAATTTTGCGCTGACATAGCCAAAGCTATGGTAGACTAGGGTCAGTCATAACTTTGATTCTGCCCGTCAGAATTCAGTTCTGTCAGTTCCTGGTAAATCGCAATTCAATATTCTAGCAGTGTCTGAAATCGCACAGTCAGATTTGATGTTTTGAGTCAGTTACAGTGTTTGCTGTAAATCGCCATACCCCCAGTATGGCATCCAGGGTCATACAATGTTGATGTCAACAGGGTAGGTCTAAAAATAGGTTTTCCTGCACATCGCTGCATTTTGGTCATCAGTAGATACCCATCTAACCCTAATTGGTCACTCTGTCTGATTACTAATCAACACTAATTAGTCCAAGACTGCATCCTGTCAGTTGTTGATTCAGGATTTGCAATTATTGCATGCAATTGTTGTGTCAGGGCAGGGATGGAAAAATCGTGAAATTGTTTTTTGCCTGAGTGGACTCTGAACTGACCCTGACCCTCATTGGATTAGTACTGCAGGGAACATCCAACTCCTGTTACCTCCTGCCTGTTCTTTGTTTGTTACTTGTTGTTTATTTGTTTGTCTGTATTGTGGGGAGCAATATGGCGGAATCAGGGAAGGCTGAGGTAGTTGAGAGTTCTGGGGAGAGACCCCAGGTTAAGCTTGAGATGAAAGTGCAGCCTGTAACACCTGTACCGCCTGACCCTTTAGAGGCTGAACTGCGGGCCCAAGAGGAGAAACTCCACTTGCAGGCCCAGGCAGTTGAGAACCTAAAGGCAGAGCTCAAGAGGAAGGAAGAGTACGCCCAGAAAGAGGCCAGGAGAAAAGTGTTGATTGGAGACATGCAAAGAATCATGAGCCTCGGTATGACCAGTCAGGCCAGTAAGGACATGGCAGAATTCATCCTGCTGCAGGATGAGATTCACCGGTCCTACTTTACTAACTGGGATGACCGAATCTCAGGTCTAGAGACCAGCCATTCAGCTTTGTCAAAGAAGCTGGATGACATCTCTGCGCAGCTGAGCAACATTGCCAAACAGCTGCAGATCACCCCTGTTCAGACTGTTCCTCCTTCTTCTGGCCCTTCTGCAGCACCTGTCCCAAACCCCCCACACTCCAGACCTGCATCCCCACCTCTTACACCCAAGTCACCAGCACCCTCTCAGTCCTCAGCCCCATTTGAGCCGCAGCGGCCCAAGCTGACCCCTCCACCAATGTTCTCAGAAGAAGATCCTAAGGTGGACGTGGCAGATTGGGTGACTGCGCAGCGAACCTACCTGAGTGGGTTCAAATGCGACGAGGATGTGAAGGTGTCAGCCATCCTGGCACGGCTGGAGAGGACTGCACTGAAATGGTGCACCTCTACTTCCAGCAAGCAGGGGATGGAGATGGCTGATTGGGCGCAGAGGTTGGGGGTGGCTGGATTTCTGCAGGCCCTGCAAGATCGGTTCGCAGACAAGGAGCAGGCAAGAAAGGCTGCAAACAAAATTCTGCGCCTGGACCAGAAAAAGTTTGAGGGCTCCTTGTCCAAACTGTTTTCCACCTTTGAGAGTTTGACATCGACTCCAGGGTTGGAAATGAGTGAGCAGGATCTGCTCATTCATTTCCTAAGGGCAACACCTGAGCAATTCCAGCATGCTCTCTTCTCTCAGGGCCACAAGGACTGGAGGTCCTTTGGCAGAGCAGCCCTGGACTTGGAATCCAAGCTCCATGTCCAGGAAGCACCTTCTGAAGGAAGGAAGGGGCCCTCCTCCAAAGGGCGAAGGAGGAGGAAGGTCGCCCTGTTTGCTGCTGCAGCGTCTAGTTCTGATAGTGACGCAGCATCCCAGGGTGGGAGCCCTCCGCCTGGGACTGCTTCATCATCAGCTGCAGATCCCGTTCTTGCCCTGGCTGATGCTTTGATGGGCTTGGCAAAGGGAAAGGCCCCAGCCCAGAAAGCACCAACCAGTCGCCAGGGGAAAGGGAAGGGACGTGCCTCTTCCCCTGGGGCCCAGAGAGTACCTCTACCACGAGACGTCCGCTGGCCAGCTGACCCACTTGATCCTTCCACCTTCCCCTGGCATGCACTCAGGATCCAGGAGGGAGTTTGGAGGAAGAGGAAGGATAAGGGGGTCTGCCTGAGATGCGAGGGGGACCACTTTCTCAAGGACTGTCCCAGTATGCCTCGTAGGTCTGCAAGCAGCTCTAGTTCAAAAAACTAGAGCAGAGAGAGGTGGAAGTAGCAGCTCCTTCCACCAGTGCTGATTCCCTTTCTGATGGAGGCGAATCTTCACATTCTCTCGCTAGTACTTTTATTTCTAGAGTTGCATTGGCAAGGTCTTTCACTTTTGAAGACTCTGAGCTGGATTGAGACATGGGAGGAGGGCGATGCTCAGACTATTGCTGATCTTTTCCTGTCCCTGCAGGAGAAGAAAAAGCACAAGTCTGAACTCATCCTGCTTCAATCCTACATCCTGGGAGCCAAGATCAAAGGGCCCTTGGACTGTGGGGCTACTCGCAACTTCATCTCCCCCAAGGCAGTCAGTAAACTGCACTTGGATCAGAGGTTGGTGAAGCTGCGACAGCCACTGGAAGTCCGCATTGGGGACTCTTCCACAGTCAGGATTACCACTGCTGTCAAGGGCATACCTGTGTCCTTTGACAAGCAGGGGGAAGTCAGGCATCGCCTGAACTTCTATGTGTTCCCTAACGTTCCCTTTGACCTTGTCTTCTCTATGCAGTGGCTTGGTGCCACCAATCCTAGGATTGACTGGCAGATTCCTAGGGTTGAGCTGCCAGACCGGCATGGGGTTTATCGCCCTTGCATGCTCGCTGATGAGTACCATCCGGCCAGCAACTGTTATTGCATGAGTGCTCGCAAGTTTTTGCGATTCTCACGCCAGACTGACCACGCTCGTCTATTTGTGGCTTATGTCAAACAGACTGACGTGGAGACTGCTCCCTGTCCCTCTCAGATTCAGCAGGTTGTAGACCGGTTCTCATATCTTAAGGAGGAGCCTACTGGACTTGTCCATAGGCAGACCAAACATAAGATTGAGATCCTGCCTGGCTCGGTCCCTCCCAAGGGCCGGGTCTACAGGATGTCTCCTGCTGAACTTGAAGAGCTCAGGAAACAGTTAGAGACCCTGACCAGCAAGGGCTGGATCARGCCCARCACATCTGAGTTTGGGGCACCAGTCCTCTTTGTTCCAAAGGGGAATGGTGAGTTCAGGATGTGCGTGGACTATCGTGGTCTCAACAAAATCACGAGGAAGTCTACAGAGCCCCTTCCTCGCATCGATGACCTGTTGGACATGGTGCAGGGCTGCACTATTTTCAGCAAGATCGATCTCAAATCTGGCTACCACCAGATTGAGATGGTTGAAGGCGATGTCCACAAGACAGCCTTCCAAACCAGGTATGGGACTTACGAGTACCTGGTTATGCCATTCGGTCTTTGCAATGCGCCAGGCACTTTCCAAACAGAGATGCACCGCATACTGAGGCCTTACCTGGACAAGTTCGTAGTTGTCTACCTGGACAACATCTTGGTATTCATTCGTTCTGTCCAGGAGCATGCGCAGCATCTGGCTCTGGTCCTCCAGGCCTTACGTGCTAACCAGTATAAGATCAACAGGGAGAAGCCCTCTTTTGGAGTTCCCTCTGTAATCTATCTGGGACACGTGATTTCTGGAGAGGGGTTGGCTCCTGAGGCAACGAAAGTTGCTGCAGTTCAGGACTCGCCGCGACCTGCTAACATTCGTGATGTCCGGTCTTTCTTGGGGCTTGCATCCTACTACAGGAAGTTCATTAAGAACTTCTCAGCGATTGCAGCTCCCCTGACTGATCTTACAAAGAAAGACACTTCCTTTCTTTGGACGTCAGAATGTCAGGAGGCCTTCACACGTCTCAAGGAGGCCTTGATTCGTGCCCCTGTCCTGAAGCTACCTGACCCTACCTTGCCTTTTGTACCGACTACTGATGCTAGCCAGTATGGTGTAGGGGCGGTACTTCAGCAGGATGATGGGAATGGTCTGCAGCCTATTGAGTATATGAGCAAGAAGATCAAAACCAAGAAGCTACAGGACTCTACCTATGAGAAGGAGCTCTATGCTCTTGTGTCAGCGCTCAAGCATTGGAAGCACTTTCTCCTGGGCAGGCACTTCAAAACCTTTCCAGATCACTCCACCCTTCAGTGGATGAAGTCCCAGGGAGAGCTGAATGACAAGCTTGCTCGCTATATCAAGTTCATTGACATGTTTGACTTTGAACTGAGACACAAGAAGGGCTGCTACAATAGAGTCGCAGATGCCCTTTCTCGTAGGCCTGACGCTCTCTTTCTGATCTCCTTTACAACTCGTTTGGAGAGAGGACCCGTCAGACCATTGCCTAGTTGCTGCCCCAAGATGAGATCTTTGGGCCTATTGTGAGGAATCTCCAGGAAGATCCTGCCTCTGAACCAGGATACTCTCTGGTCTCAGGCCTGCTGTACACGTGCAGCAGAGGCGAGGAGCGCCTGTGCATTCCCCAGGACCGCAAGTTGAGGACACTTCTGATGTCAGAGTGTCATGACGCTCGTGGTCACTTTGGTGCCCTCAAATCTTATGCAGCCCTGTCGCAACGCTTCTTCTAGAAGGAGATGAGGAGTGACATGTTGCACTATGTGGAAACCTGTGAGTTATGCCAGAGGAACAAGGTGGTACGACGACCTCCTCTTGGCTTACTCAAACCCCTACCTATCCCTGATGCTCCTGCACAGTTAGTTTCTATTGATTTCACTGACTTGGGTAGGACTACACCACGAGGTATGCGTCAGGTCATGGTATGTGTGGATCGGTTCTACAAATATGCAGAGTTCATCCCCTTACCAGCTGAGGCTCGTGTGCCGGCCGTCCAGGCGGCGTTCGCTGACAGGTGGGTTACACATCATGGACCACCCACCTCTATTGTCAGTGACAAAGATCCCCGTTTTTGCAGCAATGAATGGCAATCCTACTGCAGGGATTACCTTCATTCAAGATTGGATATGACATTTGGTCGTCATCCTGAAGCCAATGGTCAGGCTAAAGTGATGAACCAGATTCTGTTCCAATTGCTGCGTCCTATGATCAGTCCAGATCAGCAGGACTGGGATCTCCATCTGAGTCGTGCACAGCTTGTGTATAACACGTCTGTACACTCCTCGACTGGTTTCACACCCTACTGGTTACACTGGGGTCGTGAACCACGGCAGCCTCTCGATGATATCATCGACAAGGCTACCCCTACGCTGACACCTGGAACTGCAGAGTTCACCAGGCGTTACCGTGTGGACATAGAGCGTGCCCGTGCTAACCTGTTGAAGGCCCAAAAGGCTATGATTCAACAGGCCAACAAGCACAGGCGTCCTTCTACGATTCGCACAGGTGACTGGGTGTGGGTACTCAGTTCTGAGCTGTCACGAGAGGAGGACATCTCGCCTAAGCTGTTGCCATGATACATCGGTCCATGGCAGGTCTTAGATACAGTGGGAGCTGATCCGTTTGGACCGTCCTATAATGTGGACGTCCCTCTGCATCTACAAACCTACCCTGTCTTTCATGCATCTAAGCTGTTGCCATTTACGCCAGCTGATGCATTTCCAGACAGGCCTCCTCAGTTTGGCCCCCCTATCCCTGGCAAAGGGTATGAGGTCGAATCTGTGGAGGATGAGTCAGGGACAGGTCCAAATAAGGAGTATCTTGTGAAGTTCTTATACCAGCCACACACTGAAGATCGCTGGTTTACTCGCAAGGAACTCCTAAAGACAGCCAAGTCTGTCATCCTCAGATATGAGGCAGCACAGAAGGGGGTACCCCTTCGGCGCTCTGCACGCCTACGCCCCTAGCTYGGAGGTCCTCGCTCCGGGGGAGGGTAGGTCTGCAATGACTTGCTGTTTTCTGGTCGCCTGTAGCCTCTCTCTGTCGAGGCTGTACTATAGGTAGGACAGATTCGTAATTTTGTTTGGCTGAGGGCTAACCGAGAGACCTACCTGTGAGGGAAATTCTTGAGGGACTTATCTGCAAATCCGGGAAAATACAGGCCCGGTACTAACTTGATTCCCTACAGCTACCCTAACTGCGGATAGCAGGCCCGGGCTACCCCTAGACGGACAGGCCCTATGGGCCTATTCTGAATAGACGGTCCTATAGCCTATAGCCGGGTCCGGTAGAGGCCGGGAGGCCAAAACAGATACGGTACCGGTCGGTCAGTCAGTCCGGTCTAGATCGGTGTAGGCTAGAAGTAGGATGGGCACATCGGTTCAGGGCTTTTGGCAGTTGGTACCGTGTACATCGCTGCTGCACTACGTGTGAACCAGAAGTGGTGACGGCTCAGCGTGGAAGGAGACGGGCATAGCCCGACCTTCGGAGCGCAGGCGGACCCTCCTCCGGAGTGGGGTCCCAGAGGGTTGCGCTGCAGCCATAGCTGCAGCATCTTCATCTCAGAGGTCATCTAGTCAGGGTCTGGTGGCGNTCCGGAGTGGGGTCCCAGAGGGTTGCGCTGCAGCCATAGCTGCAGCATCTTCATCTCAGAGGTCATCTAGTCAGGGTCTGGTGGCGCTGCTGCAGCTTCCACCCGGGAAGCCTCCCGACACTTCGTCATCATCAGATACTGTGGCGCTGGTCTTCTTCTTCATCCTCTGAGTGGCGCTTGGCCTCAGAGGCCCGTTTCAGGGTGGCGCTGCCCCCAGGAGGCTGTATTTGGGTGGCGCTTGATGTTTCAGGGCTCAGGGGGTGTTACGGGTGTCTATCAGGATTGGAGAGTGAAGCGCTGCTCAATTCTGAGCAGCGCACTGTAGTTCTGAAGTGACCCTGACATTTCGAGACTCTGAGTTTAATAAACAGTGTATAACTGTGTTTGGGGTATCATCGTTTCATTGTTTCCTGGATGTGATCTGCTCGGCTTTTCTCTATGACTGGTTGTGAGGATTGAATGGAGAGAATTGCACTTTCAGTGTACCCTGTCATATCGCATGGACAAGTCTTCCGCTGTGTTTATCTCTCCCTGTGCGGTGTGATACTCCTATCCTCTCCCCTT